TATATATATATTTATATGCTTTTAATTATATCAGAAAAGAAGTATTGCATGAGATGTGATGTATAACTAACTATTCATGGAAACTGAGAATTCACTGAGGTGTCTTTTTGGCGGCATTGTGTAAGAAAACAAGGAATCTGGACATTATTATAATTATTATTATTCTGATTCTGATCTGACCAGTTCTGTAAACTTGTAAGTTGATTTCTTTTGACCTTGATTATACAGTATTCAAATATAATTGTTGAATGATGTTGAAAGCCTGACTGACCAAAATTCTTGAAATCTATTTAAAATTTAATTTTTATTTATTTATTTATTTGTTTATTATTTTGGCATCATTTCCAAAATGATAAACTGGATATATGGTAGATATAATTAAATTTTAAATTATAACACTGTATTGAACAGAGATTAAAATAATACTACACAATTTATCTAAGAGGACTTATATAGTTGCTATTGTTACAGTAATTGCATTTTTGGTATTGATCTAGTCGTTTATATACGAAAATCTTCTTCCACATCACATACTTCCTAGCACATTATGATGGTTTGTTTTCAATCTCCTGTTAATTTGAGTTTCAATTCCAGATTTTTCTTAAGTTTGAATGTGATGCTGTCCTTCATGTCACCAATTCCCCTTTTGTTACCATTCCTTCAATGTATGGTAATAAGAATTTATCATATATATTAATGTTTGTGGTACACCACGTAGATAGTTCTGAAAAGAACTGTTGTTTGTTGAAAATGTCTTGACATTTCGATTGAGTTGCTTCAACCATCTTCAGGAGATTAATATCTGCAGAAATATCCTAAACAGGGAAGTACTTTATAGTAGTAGTGAGGCTTGCTGCTAATTGGTGAAAAACTAAACAATAACTGAGACTACATGTGAATAGCCTATAGAATTTATCAATAAGCCAATACTGATGATAACATTGTTTCCATATACTTACTAAAATGCCAGTTTTCTTTAGGAACTTAGCTTCAACATAATGGAATCATCCAGCCATAATGCAATGATGCTTACAACTTCAAGCCTCAATTTTCCTTAAAATCACTGACGATATAAGGCGAAGAAAAGGTGGGTGAACAATCATCTTTGTAAGTATGTCCTACTACGTATTTTTACAATTTAATGGATATTAAATAGTTTAATTGTTTTTTTTAATTATTCAGTTCCATTTTCATAAGTTCATCAGCTGCTTCTCGTACATGTTTTTATAAATGAAATAAATAAATAAATGAATAATAATTAAGGTACTAATATGGGTCCTTAATTCGTTTTGTTGCAGAATATGTAAGAAATTAATGGAAGTGGTAGATGCTGTTTACTGCAGCAGCACACTGTCAAAGCCATCAACAAGCCATTGAAGATACTAGAGTAAAGGATGCCACTAAACCAAAGCCAATCAAAGCTGAATTTCAAGTCGCAGTGAGTTGGTGTCTATAAAAACAAGTGAAAATCATTAGTCACATATAAACTGATTAATGTACAGTAACATTAATAATAATTAATAATTTCTAAATGTACCGATATTCACCACAAGAATGGTGCTCATGGCTCTTTGTGATGGAACTTTACATTATACAAATACAACATGGTTTGAGGTGAAGGAGTTTCAACAACACAGAGGGAAAAAGAATAAATTAACCTCTTCAAAATATGAAAGATAAATGTCAATTTTGATTTAGGGTAGTGCTTATTCCTGGCATGTTGTAAGCATTCACGTGCATGGATGTAAAATAGGCAAAATACTGTTCACTGAGTGAAATGACCAGTGAAATGTTGTTTCCTAGTTAGTATTCAGTATAATGAGTCTGAACACGTTTTTCTCTTACAATTACAGCCATTCTGTGGCAAATTCAATTGCACTGTAGTACTAACCGTTGGCTCCTTTAAATGAGGCATGTTGTGGCGAAATGTTTAAGTTGTCGCACAGTCCAGTATCGAGTATTAAATGAGCTATAAAATATGGGAGCTCAAAAAATTGCCTAAAAATCTAAATTTGTTTTTCACTATAGATCAACAGTTTAATGTCTTATTAATCATGTCCCAAAGTATTAGTTCTGGAAGTGGTTAACAAATTGTTTATTTAACGTTATTTTTCATAGTTCATTCTATTAAATCGAGAGCTTAGAGCCAAAAGTGCCTATGTCCAAAATTCATATTTCGAGAAAAATAAGTTTTAATATTTCATTATATCTAAAAAATCAAATAATATAACCAAAAGAACAATATTCCAGAATTATGTTATTAATACTTAGACAAAGTTGATGCTTCGGTACTTATAAGAATTCTTCCCCTGGGGGTCCAAAAAATTCAGAAAATGGACATAGACAATTCTAGTCCAAAATAGAAATAACATTATTTGGACATAATAAAAGATTGTTGCAATGTCTGCTTAATTTTCAACAACTTTTATTAAACCAAGTGGTTCAAACGTTAATTTTCAACAAATATTTCATCTGCAGGCAGGATCTTAAAATAAAATAGTTTGTATACCAGGCATTAAAGCATGCAAAATTATCACTTCAGACCCGAGTTTTGTTACACCGAATAGTTAGTGCATTAGACAATGTCTTCATTATCACTGTCTTCGCCAGAGTCTTCAATAGCTGGTTCTGGTAGGTGGTCCTGTATTCGACCAGATGAATTTATGGCTTTGTACCATCCATAGAACTCTGCAGGTATGGCCAATTCTGTACACAGCTTCACCAGATCCTTCTTCTTTGCGTTACTGATTGCCCGTCTGGTATCGTAGGCAGGTAGCAAAGCATTTGGAACAACAGGGCGACCACGTCCATACACGCAGATTCTTGTGTAGTTTCCTTTGTAACCGTATCTATAACTAATTATTCCTGGTTGATCTTTCCTATATCAAAAGCTCTTGACCAGCAGCCAGTTGATGATATTTCCCTCTTCGTCCCGGCGTTTATTTTTTAAAAGATGTTGTGCAAGTCTTTGGAAATCATAGAAATCTTGATGCTGCAAGTTTACCACATTGTATGGGTGTTGACGCCTAGCTCTACGAAAGATAGACACCCAGTCATGCATTGTAAAGACACCCAATAGCCGCATGCATACTATCGCATTCCATATGTGAATGTCCACTTTCCAGAAAGTTATGAGTAATTACGTTAACTTGGGTGTTCATGACAGCATAAAAATCATTGCTGCGACATTCTGATTGCGATTTTGTCCTCCACACGTGTCAGAAAATAAGGAAATTTCTGTTATTGAACATGGAAGTTGGGTTATCCAATTATAAAGACAAGTTCCTATGTCATTGCTTCCACGTCTGCCTTAAACCTCTGACCAGCAAAAGTAATGTGCGTCATTTGGTGGTGCTGCACTGTATATACAGAGGTTGTATACGCATATTTTTCTACTGTAATACATCAGAGAACGTGCACTTGTGGGGAGTTGAAGGACACTCTGTAAGTCAAATGATGCTGATACCGCTCTTGCTTTATCAGCGGTTTTCGCGTCCTGTGCCTCTTTTTTTCTTGTAATATGAGAATCATAAGCTCCTTTAAATGTTGGTTTTTGTATTTTATGCATTGCGCACATTAATCTTTTTTGGGGTGAAAAAATGATAAGATATATTCATCACAAAATATCTTCCGGTAGATTCCTTCTTTGACTGGAATCACAGGTGGTCCAGATGTCTCACATTTTTCAATATACAGTCGGTACATTTTCGAAATATTTAATGTTTAATCAAGATAAAGTCGTCGAGTGTTGCTACGGGTATAGTGCGATTCTGTTACAGGAAAGCTTTCAATGTGTTGTTTAACCTTTATTCAGGCTTCGTCTGTAGTTTTGTTTATAGGGACATGTCTTCCGCATCTATCTGCTCCTGTGAACGTTCCAGCACATCCTAAATCTTGAAAGGCAGTGTTTACTGGGCCATGACTAATGTTGAGGGTATTTAGAAAGAAATGTTTGCAAACACGTTTCGGAGTACTATTTTTTATGAATGTACGCTCTCCTCTAGGACGTTCTCGCTGAACGTCGTACATCTTTACATTTGACAGAAGAAAATCTTTCTGACGGCAATAGTCGCCTAGTTGCCAATATTCGTCACATAAATTTTTTCTCTCTATGTCTGAGAAGCTGTCCAGACACTTGAATCTGCAGTTTGCACAGTTTGATGGTTGCGGATACTTAGCAGATTTTTGCCGACCTCTTGTGTCGGTATGAGCCTTTCCTCAATCATGTGCATTTTTTCTTATATTTTTTTTCCAAGAACTGCTATCGGATTTTTTCTTTCTTGTTCCTCTTTCTACAACATTCGGATTCTCTGGAATGGGTATTTGTTCCCCTTCCTGAATGACAGGTTGTTGCCCTTCTTGAATGACTGACTATGCCTCTTTTTGAATATCTGTCTCTTCCCATTCATGAATGACTGGCTGTCCTCCATCTTGGATGGATGGCTCCTTATCATTGAATGACTCTCCAATTTCTAGCTGATTGTCTTGAATTAAATTCTCTCCATCTTCTGGGATATAATCAGGGTCATTGTCGGAGTCATCAACTTCACTTCCACTTTCACTCTCTAACATGTCCAGCACTTGAGATGCGCTGTAAGTCTTATCTAAAACTGAAAAAAAGTTGCAAACTGTAAAAGGAAATTTTTATGTCACCGATGCCTACATCTAAAACAATTAGACAAAAAATTGGGAAGTATGTATTGTTTAAAACAAGACCTGAAAATGGACCCACATGACCAGCATGCCTGCAGAAGAAAGCTTTGTCAATATTAGCCTGCTCTGAGACCTATACCCGAGGACTGATTAACTTAACCTACAGCTAACCTTGGACTAGGGGTATGCCATAGGCCTAGGGCTAGACCTAATGCCTAGGGCTAGGCCTTAGGCCTAGAACTAGGCCTACATAAATCAAGTACAGTATGTAAAAATAACATTTAGTAACTATCTGTATTCATTTCAAAAACTTACCTCTCCTAAGCATTTTAGTGATGGCAATAACAAAAACAACAATTGCAAGCTACCAAACAAGAGTGACAGACAATGTTGGATTTATTTCAGAACCATGTACACAACACAACATAGGATTTCAGTGTAGTATAACTGTTTATGTTCCACATGGGCAGGAATATGTAAACAAAAAAAAATTGGCCAAAAGTGACTATGTCCCACATAGACAGCTCTGGCTGAAAACAAAGTCCATTGTAATGGACATAAACAATAGTGGGTCTACTCTAGTGCCCTCTATATTGAAAGTGTGACTTGGACACATCTGTCAAAAAAATATATCGAATTACTGTACCTATTATTTTATGGACTTAACTGATTTTTGCCAAATTTGGACATAGGCAGTTCTGGCTCTAAGCCCTCGAAATCATGTATGCACAAATGACTTTGAAAGGCAATTACTCAAAATCATGTTTATTTTACTCTAAGAGTACTGTACTTTCACTTTCCAATAACTTAGGCTTGAAATGTCCAATTTGAATGAATGACCCCTCATTTTAAAGATCACATACTCAGGTATCTGAAAATACCAATAACTTGAATTTCAATTTTTGCTACAACTTTGCCATTTTGCCACAACATGTCTCAAATGCTTGCTGTGAGAATGTCTGCACATTGTCATGTTCACACCAAAAAAGATCAATCATTTGTCTCATCTTCGATACTGTGACTTATAAGGTCTATTTTTATTATCAAAAGAACGTTCCTGCTCACTTGTCACTGTGTGTGTTTTTCTTAACAAAAGTTGTGACCATGTTTAACAAATATTCATTCATATTTTTTGGGGTTTTTTTGTTTTAAACTAACCTCCTCCGTTGTGCCCTTTCCATTTTGTCTTTTTATTAAAAATTTGCTTAGAAACATACCAACTTTCAATTTTTGCCTTACCTACAATATATATTACATTTTAATCTGATTTCATCAATAGTTTAATGGTTTTAAATTTGAATAGTACAAAATACCAAGTCTCTATGCACTGCAATCATTGGCAACTTCATTGATTTCCTCTGGAAATCCATGTCTATCGTTCTGTACCCTCAACCCAATCAATCATCAACATTCAAGTCTAACTATGGCTTCTTTGCATATCATCCAACTCATCTTCACATTCATCAATTCTTCTTCATCAGAATCTGGTGGTACATTTCATTAGGCTGTATTGAATCTGATGTTTCATTTTAAAAATTTAACCTGTGAGTTTTAAGCGTGGGGACTGTTTATTCTGCATATTCTGCAAATGAATACATATCTAATAAAAATTTGATAGAATTCAATCTTTACTGCTGCCACCACCACCATCACCACCACCCTGGCCTAATAACAATAAACATGATAATGAAGTCATGTAAATGCTTGGGATGATGATTTAATGAATTTGGTATGGTAATTTGTAATTTAGTGTTGATAATGAATAATGTGTTTTTTCTTACACAGTATGTACATCGTCTTTCCAATTCATGTTGCATTTTAATATTTTCAATGCATAACTCATTTCCTGTGCGTAGCCAAGTCTTGCAATGCTATGTAGAATACAGTACATCAAGCATGCTACACAATGAACAAGGAATATGAAAATAGGATATATACAACATCCTTATTACTACTTAAATGTAGCACCAAGACCTTCTGTTAGGCCATCAGCTGTATCTGAAAAAGTGGCTTGAAAACATGGTCCTTTCCAGAATAATGTGGACTACTTTTTAGAAACATGGTCCTTTCCAGAATAATGTAGACTACTTTTTGGATGGATGCAATAATGTTTAAAGGTCTCTGCATATACCTACAGTTTCTTGCTAGGACATTAAAAAGCATGTTCAGTTGTGTACTCCAAAATGGCTGTTTTTGGGGTCTGATATCATGTTTAAATAATCATGCCTAATTCATGTTGAATTGTAATACAGTATATTCAATGCATAACTCATTTCCTGTGCGTAGCCGAGTCCTGCAATGATAAGTAGAATACAGTACATCATGCATGCTGCACAATGAACAAGGAATATGAAAACAGGGAATATACAATTACAACATCCTTATTACTACTTAAATGTAGCAACAAAACCTTCTGTTAGGCCATCAGTTATATCTGAAAAAGTGGCTTGAAACATGGTCCTTTCCAGAATAATGTAGACTACTTTTTGGATGGATGCATTAATGTTAAAAGGTCTCTGCATAAACCTAGAGTTTCTTGTCAGGACACAACTAAACATGCTTTTTGATGTACTCCAAAATGGCTGTTTTTGGGGTCTGATATCATGTTTAAATAATCATGCCTAATTCATGTTGAATTGTAATATGTTCAATGCATAACTCATTTCCTGTGCGTAGCCTAGTGTTGCAATGCTATGTAGAATACAGTACATCAAGCATGCTACACAATGAACAAGGAATATGAAAACGGATATATACAACATCCTTACCACTACTTAAATGTAGCACCAAGACCTTCTGTTAGGCCATCAGCTGTATCTAAAAAAGTGGCTTGAAAACATGGTCCTTTCTAGAATAATGTGGACTACTTTTTAAAAGCATGGTCCTTTCCAGTAGACTATTTTTGGATGGATGCAATAATGTTTAAAGGTCTCTGCATAAACCTACAGTTTCTTGCCAGGACACAACTGAACATACTTTTTAATGTACTCCAAAATGGCTGTTTTTGGGGTCTGATATGTTAAAATAATCATGTCTAATTCATGTTGAATTGTAATATGTTCAATGCATAACTCATTTCCTGTGCGTAGCCGAGTTTTGCAATGATATGTAGAATACATTACATCATGCATGCTGCACAATGAACAAGGAATATGAAAATAGGGAATATACAATTACAACATCCTTATTACTACTTAAATGTAGCAACAAAATCTTCTGTTAGGCCATCAGTTATATCTGAAAAAGTGGCTTGAAAACATGGTCCTTTCCAGAATAATGTAGACTTTTTGGATGGATGCATTAATGTTTAAAGGTCTCTGCATAAACCTACAGTTTCTTGTCAGGACACAACTAAAAATGCTTTTTAATGTACTCCAAAATGGCTGTTTTGGGGGTCTGATACCATGTTTAAATAATCATGTCCAAATCATGTTGCGTTGTAATATGTTGAACGAAAACGCATTTCCTGTGAGTAGCCAAATTCAGCAATGCTATGTAGAATACAGTACATTGAGCATGCTACACAATGAACAAGGAATATGAAAATGGAATATACAATTACAACATCCTTACCACTACTGTACTTAAATGTAGCACCAAAACTGTACAGTACCACCAGAACCATCTGTTAGGCCATCAGCTGTATCTGTAAAAGTGGCTTGAAAACATGGTCCTTTCCAGAATAATGTGGACTACTTTTTGGATGGATGCATTAATGTTAAAAGGTCTCTGCATAAACCTACAGTTTCTTGTCAGGACACAACTGAACATGCTTTTTAATGTACCCCAAAATGGCTGTTTTTGGGGTCTGATACCATGTTTAAATAATCATGTCTAATTCATGTTGCATTGTAATATGTTCAACACAAACGCATTTCCTGTGATTAGCCAAATTCAGCAATGTTATGTAGAATACAGTACATCGAGCATGCTACACAATGAACAAGGAATATGAAAACAGGGAATATACAATTACAACATCCTTCCACTACTTAAATGTAGCACCAAGACTGTACAGTACCACCAGAACCATCTGTTAGGCCATCAGCTGTATCTGAAAAAGTTCCTTTCCATAATAATTAGACTACTTTTTGGATAGATGCATTAGGGTCTCTGCATAAACCCAGTTTCTTCTTTCTTTTTGATGTATCCCAAAATGGCTGTTTTGGGGTCTGATACCATGTTTAAATAATCACATTGTCTGATAGTCACAATTTTCAACATTGATGGAAATTGTAATTTTTATTTGATAAATTCTTATTGGCCTTTATGTAATAAAAACTGAAAAATAACAATGTATTATTATAAGGAACAACTAATTTTTCAACTAACATGGTATGTTTTTACTAACTGTTCCATGTTGGAACATACAGTATTTCCTTTGTTGGTGGTTGGCTCTGTTTTGATGTTGATGATAGACAGAACATTTTGTAAATGGCAACATATGGCAACATTAACATTTGTTATTAACCTGGCCATAAAACTTGCTTATAAATGATTTATAAATGGTTAAAATGCTCTTTCACTTCAAGTCTAAGTGTCTGCCGAGATCTGTAAATACTTTTAGATAACTTTCTACAGACCTACAACTTGTCCTTCCTGTAGCAATCATAAAGAAAAGGTTAGAAGGCAATGTATCTATAAGTGATAAGGCTATGCTCACATCTGTGTCTGGACTTCTGATGATTACATTTTGTAATACTTTGAAGCATGATTTTCATGAAGAAGTAACTGTGTATTTGCACATGGAGAAAATGTACTGACACTTTCTTTTTTTTTTCTTAAAATGTTTTACTTTCTTTTGCAAAAACACATTGCAGAAATAATAAGAGAAAATGTAATACAAATAAATCAAAGCACTCTCAGTTGCTTCTAATCATTGCCATTTGTTAATATGAATGTAATACTTAAGGTTATTCTTAGCAATATTCTTTTCAGTTGTTTCTGTAAAATATACCCATTTTCTAATACCTGAGAGGAGTTTAATTTTGCAATTATAAAAGTATCTTTAAGCCAGAATCAAATTCAGACAAATAAAAAATTGCATATTTATGTTCAAAAACTCAAAACACATGTCAGTATATTTTATGTTAACAGTAATGTCTAAAGTCTTTTCTCAAGCCCACATCAAATGCTCCATTCTTCTCTTTCTTTTTACAAAGTAAGCATTTGTCTTCTGGTCCTTGCAGTAAATTTGAACCGTCTGTGTTCTACTCCCTGCCCCCGGTAATCGCTCAAGATATTTAAACCTTATGTAAGGGTATCACAAATTCTACATGTGAGCATTAGTATTTTATCTCCAAGATTGTTTGTTCCAGAATAGCATCATTCAATTCTCCAATTTTATTGTAATGGGACATCACTCATACTGATTAGTGGGTTTGCTTCTTCTACTGTCGCTATGCACTTAAGGCCGTCATCCAAATAGAAATTATAATGGATTAATTCAGTAGCTGCTTCACATCTTTTCTCTTTACCATAATCTGTGGCTCTTCTTAAACCAAAGTTTGCACAAGCTGGAGAGCTCTTAGCACTGAAAAGATGCACCTTCATGCGATGATCAATGATTGGATTCTCCACATTGTTGGCCTTATAGGAATTGGAGCAGACCTGTGTCAATCTCCCTCTGAACAAATTGGTGGAACATGCCCCTTATGTCACATATCAATGTGATCTTCCCTATTCTTAATCTGAGCAACACACCAAGTAAATTTTGATCTGATTTGGCACGTTAAGTAAAGGTCATTTAACAAGGTTCCTTGATAGGGTGCTGAACAGTAATAACAACCTATTTCTCATCTGCTTTATTCAGAATTCTTCAGACTAATTTTTTCAAACTCATCTAATCTCTACAGCCTAACCTTTAATGCAGCCTTTTCACCGATGGCCATAAATTTGAGGACGCAACAATGCATTGCTAATAACCGATCCGTCTCTTCTACACGGGCCAGCCTGCTGCTGAAATACGTCCTGTGAAAAGGTCTAATCTTTTTTTAGACTATAACCGACCACTATGGAATCGATGGACGATATGGAACCCACCATAGAACTGACGAACGATATGGAACCCACTCTGGAACCGATAAACGATATGGAACCGAATAACGATATGGAACCCACGACTGCTGTGGAAATGAAACTAACGACATCTGCCGAGGACCCGCTGACGAACACTATCGTAGACCTCAGGGGAAACGTGAACAAGTTGTTCGGCCGCTTCGTGGTGAGGGCCGTGACATTGGTGCCTCTCGTTGTGTCCCATAAATAAATTAGCGAGAGTCTGAGCTAATGGTGACCCCATGGTGACCCCATCTATTTGTTGAAAGTAATCAAATAAAGTATCCAGAAGTTGCTATTACCATTAGTTTTCGAAGGATTTCAGGTTTTAATTTACAATTGCTATTGTTTTCCGTAATATAGTGTACTGCTAAATCTATAGCCTCTTTCAATGATGATATGTTCGTGAATAAACTCTCAACGTCAAATGAGATCATAAATTTGTTATTCAGTTTGTGATTTTTAATTGTATTAACAAAACTGAAACTGTTCTTTACACTGAATTTATCTGGTATATGTGATTGAAGGAGCTCACTTAAAAATTTAGCTAATTTATAATTAGATGTCCCAATTGTGGAAACAATCGACCACATTTTGTGAAGACCATCTTCACCCAGCTTTTTATGTAGTTTCGGTAATCCGTATATTCTAGCAGGTGATGAAACATTAGGGTAAATTTGTTTGTATGTATCAATGTCCAACTCCCCAGCTTTGTGTCATTTCCTAAGAACCGTTCTTGTTTACGTGTCGGATTTATGTTAAGTTTGGCAAATTATGCACGATGCTTCCATATCGGATTCCATGACACAGCAGACTTGACCTCTTTGGTTGAATATCTCTGTAGAGTAGTTTTTACCGTTGCACCAACTTCAGCTGCTGTGGAAAGCTTCTGTTTCAAGAGTCATCCAATCTTCTTTATAAAACAACAAGATCACAAGTCTGCAAACTTAATTTTAGACATAGGCCGACTTTTTAACAGAGACTATACTACTTTGGGGTTTTGGTAAATCTACATGATTAAAGTCTGAGAGACAGCTCTGGTCGTGCAGTAGATATGGACTTGTATCCAACTATTGGTGAAATGTTACTTGGCAGTCTTCTGGCTTGGGTTAGTTTAACACAGATTACGTTTTCTTTTGTAATGGTCTCCCTACTCCTCATTTTTTGTACATGGATTTTATACGATGAGTAAGTTACACTACGATACATCGTATGGATTTCATACACAGTAGACTTTCCCCTTCTGGGGAAATTCGGTTGGATGTCTTTGTAGAGTGGTTGCTACCATTTCGCCTTCCATTCCGAGAGTCCTCCAATATGAATCTTGTAGATAGAACAACACAAAACATTATAGTCAAAGTCACATGTCTGTAAACATAATTGTAGACCTAGGCCAAATCTTTAACAGAGACCATACTTCTTTGGGGTTTTAGTAAATCTACATGATTAAAGTCTGAGAGGCATAGCTCTGGACTTCTTCCAGTAGCTAGACTATCTTGCAGTACAGTAGATATGGACTTGAATCCAACTCTTGGGCACAGTCCGCCCATCTATTGCTGGTTGACCAAATTTTTGTTTTCATTATGCATTTTTCAGTATCATCCAGCATAAATTTGAATTGGTGAGGTTTACTGTGGTATATGGTGTCGTGTAAATGGGGTTTATCCAGTCTTTGATGTAGAATGTTTGTGTTATAATTGATTTAGTTATAGTGAGCTTTTGATGTTTCAATTGAATTTTTGAGATGATCAAGTGTAAAAATACAGTGTTTTTTAAGATGTTTGGTAATGCATGAAAACATTTGGTCAATATCCTTGTGAGTGTGGCCTACATAAGTCAGGTTCACATGTCTCCATCGATCGCGAGTGGGTCGTGGTCTAGATTGTGTTAGATAAAAAATTGGCCAAACTGCGTATGCTACTGCTTTCGAGGCAACCGAAAATTAATTTATGTCACATCCCCCGGCCAATTGGTTGTAGACATGTGCAGATCGCATCGTGTTTGTACATTTCGTCTAGAGAATATTCTACAGGAGAGTGTTTACATCATGTTTCCTTGCAATTTGCTTCCAAAGGTCCTGCAACTGTGTTTGGATTTGCCGTGCCGTCGTCGGCGAGTGGCCTGGTACAGACGAAAATCTAACGTGTGCTTTACTTGTGTATTTTTGTCTTATTATTTGATTTCTTGTCTTCCACTAACATTCTAATCTCGGGTTTTGCCCAAATCTCTATCAAGTGACTCATTTCTTCCTCAGTTCAACAGGCCCGAGCGCCAGATTCAGTTGAAGTTGAATATTTATGGGTGTTTAAATGAAAAAAAACATACAACAGCCAGAACGGCAACAATTGTGAAAATGGCATTCTTAACAGATGCATTGTTGTTGACTATAACAGACAGTTCGGAAATGTTTTGTTGGTTTTCCCTTGAACAATAGATATGTTTATGTTGAAGTTACAGCCAATGCCTCTGCTTTAGTTTGGACAGTTAATCTAGTACACAATTCTATAATCAGCTTGTTGAACTATGTCCAACAGAGGGTGCTATACAGATCATCTCTCCCTTTTTTGAGATAGAAAAGACTAAGGAAAATTAAACAATTGTACATGTACATGTGTTAAAATACTTAAAAGGTAATATAATTCTGAGCCAGTACTGTAAAGTAGTTGCCAAAACATTAGCATTAGAATAAGGAATTAAAATATAGTAAGGTAGATGAACAGTTCATTTTGGTTTTGGTTATCAAAAGTTCGGAGTTCTGTCCTTTTTAGTTTGAAGCTTAGAAAAAGTCTCTTTAACTAGTTGGGGCACATTTTACGCATTTGGGCCTATTTGGTTTTTATGTTGGAAACTGCCTCTTTTGTGAAGGACAATACCCACATGATCAAGAATGCCCGGCAAAGGGGAAGGAATGTACTTCTTATGGTATAAGCTAAACCATTTTTCCTTGGTTTGCCACTCAAACAGGCCCAAGGTTCGCAAAAATGTCAGATGGTGAGAAATGTTGATGAGGGCGATTCTTCATCGTCGGACAATGAATATGTTTTTGCCGTCGATACACCCTCATGAAATCCTCAAACCACGGTTTGGATCCTATCCTTGTCGCGAGTATAATATTCTGGTTGAACATATTCGCCACAAATAGTAACCTACAAATGAATAATAAAAACAAAAGGAATTTACTTTTAATATTTAACACAAGCTCTGTAATATTTGTAATTGTTAATGATCAATAAAATGTATTAGACTATTATTAAAACTAGTTTTATATGCGCTGCCATTTATATTGACATCTTTAAATCAGACTAAAGTTATGAAAATTAATCTGAAATATTTTTCAAGATGGCTACTTGAACCAGTACCAGGATTTGTTAGCCTATTATTGTTTTTTAAAATAGCACTATAATATTCTCATTTTTTTAAAGTTATCTAATGGATATTCACAAAAAACTCTTTGTTCTGACTCAATTTACTCAGTCACCTCATGCATATGTATGTATTGTGTATAATTTTGTAAAAAAAATACAGACCTCGGTTAAAGTTTCAACAAGTACTCTCTCATCCTGAGTACCCTATGGACATCCATACTTCTTTCGATGTTTGTCCTTAATCATCTTCCTTAGATTCTCTTGGGGCACACGGTGAGTCCTGCTTGCTTTTCTTATTCCCATTCCTCCATTGTGAACTGAATGTATGGCTTCTGCACTGTAAATAATAATAATTATGTTTGCTATTTCCACACTTGTATTTCCAGACCATTACCATAAGCCTTTTTCCTTCAGCATTCTAATATTTGTGGGATTGCTGATAATGTATGAGGAATTTTATTTAATGATCGATTTTTATCAAATTAATCTTCAACTTTTTATCACTTTCCTAATTTTTCTAACTGTTGCTTGTCAAGGGTGAGCATTTGTTCCATTTTTGTCTACTTTTTGGTTCTTTCTAAGTAGTAATGATTTGTAGTTTTTGCATGTATCTGTTAAAGTGTTCTGTGCTCTCCTCTTTATTGATTTGACTGAATTTTGTATTTTGAGAAATTTTAAAATTTATTTTTAATTGTTATGGTGTTATAATATTGTTTTGATATTATGAAATTGTCTGATTTAATGAATTTAATGAATTTATTTTGTTGTTTTAAAGTTAGTAATATTTTACTTCTCCATCCTGGAGGTTTTTCTTGGATAAATTGAATAAATTTAAATAAGAACACCTTTTTTTTATCATAAATATTCAGAGTTTTGGCCTAAAATGCTATGAAATTATTCAATAACATTTTTTCATTTAGTGTCAACTATTATTTTTTATATTTCGTATATTATGCAAGTAGTATTATTTCGTATATTATGCAAGTAGTATCAAGCAATATTTTCTGAAAGTTTAAATAAGGATTTTAGTATATATTTGGTATTATGTTATTGCAGGTCTCCCTCTAATTAAAGACCTCCAAATAAAGACCACCTCCAATTAATGACCACTTTTATGTGGTCCCAAATCAAAAAATGTCTTATTTTCATTATTCTAATTAGAAACCAAAGCTGCTAAAGACCATGAAAACCCTGGTCCCAAAGGTGTCTTTAATTGGAGAGAGACCTATACTTTATAAAATAGAATTATGTTTCTGCATAATACCTTATCTACTAACACTGAAGCTCCACAAGATTGCATCGTTGAGATTAAGCCTTTTGCGCATCTGTAGTATATTTATTTGTTAGTTAAGTTGATAGCACCTCATACTTGACAAGTACAGTAAATGAGTGTGTGACAATGAAGGTTTATTTATATTGCAGTTTTATTATTCGATAAATGATGGACCATTGATTTTGTAAATTTTTTCAAGAATCATTTGATTATAATTTTCGTATAATAATTTTCTAATACCTGTAGGCCTAATATAATGTAATGATGATACACTGTAGATGGACATAATAAAATATATTTAACTTATTTATATAACTTATATATAAAATTTGTCCAATTATTTTATTTTAACAGTTTTTCATGCAATAAATAAAATATAGCCATATAGTTAAACTTTCATAATAATACAATTTCTATAACCTATACTTTTGGCATATGATGTAGAAAGTAATCAATACCAGCAATACTATATATTACAAAATAATATTGTCAAATGCAAAAAAGGAATAATCCATAAAAATAATATTTCGACCAGTTGCCATTAAAAGGTTATACATGGAATGATTTTATTTTATTCAGAAAAGATCTAAACACATTCACAAAAGATATGGTACATGTATATATAATACTGTACATGTTTAATTGAACAATTAAACAAACCAGATCTAGACCAGAATAACTCAACAAATAAAAAAATGGCTCATTTTCATTGAAATCCAACCAATTGCACTGAAATATATGAGCACACACTTGATAAAAAAAATATGTAACAATTACTCACCACTCAAGAACCAATGGATTTTAAGGTTTGCCATACTTATTATATCAAAAGTATCTCCTCTCTTCACAACACAAGTGAACCATGCGAATTTAAATTTGACTACTATCTCAATCAATATTGTCAGTTTTCATTCAAAATACTACATACAGTAACTGCTACCCTACTCTTATATGCTTTGATATGGTCTTGAAACCAAATTCCCCAGATCACCTGCTGCATGACAGATGACTGGCCACATAATAATTTAATATAGCTTATTAATAAGCTATACATACAACATAATGTGGCTCCTATACCTGATAGATTAGTTGGTCTTACATTAGTAAAATTAGTAAGTTTAATGGATTGTATTGCTATTAGTCTATAAACATGATTTCGGTTGCTCATGAAATAACATTAATGAAATGGCCAGGGTTGTACGTCTGGAAAATATTTGCGAAAAAATATCGCAAGTTGTTCTCGGGTGGAACTCGAACCCATGATCTCCAGATCACTAGCCTGGCATCATACCTCCAGATCACTAGCCTGGCATCATACCTCTAGACCACCGAGCTTGCGCCTGACGTACTGAGTATTCAGTACATTTCCACGTTAGGTAGGGCAAAAATTACACCTATTAATGAAATGTTCATAAACTAGAAATGCATCCATTTTGTTTAATAATCCCCATTTACCGTCATTTGAAGGACGCCCTCTAGAACATGGTAGTTCTCTTCATGATAACGTGGTAACGCCCTCATTTTTAAAGAGTTTTTAGTGTAGTAGACCTATACAGAATATTGTTATGAAAGAAAATGTTCATGAAAAATCTAGATACACTACAATAATACACACATCTGCATATTGAAGAACATAAGATAAAATTTAAAAAAACAAAAACTCCTGTACAAGGCAGTAGACACACGCTCCCGCTGGGAGCCTATTTTTAAAAAATAACTGCTTTTATAACATTATATAGACCCATTAAACACAAAAACTGCTCTGGCTTCGGGGGCTTTCCCCCCTTGAAATGACCTGGCTCGGGGCTGGGTCCAAGGGCCTCTACACCCACTTTCTATGGGCCCTCACAGGAGAACCTAAAACAACTGTCCCTTCCCAACCCATGTTTCTTCGACATGTGGTCAACATAAGCTGCCCATGATGGAAAGGAGTTTTTTTGCACAACCAGTCCCTCGCCTTGGCCAACTTGAACTAAACTTCTGTTGTGCCCTCATGCACTGATCTCTGCAACTGTCTTCTGGTCCCCCTCATTATACTAAGATCCATCGATATCATTTTATTCATTGGCAACCAGCCACATCACCTCATCAGCCGCGCTTTCTGATCCAATGACTTGAGTATTGGACATCCTGAACATTCTTCGCCTCCTCAACCATGGCAGAGCTGTACCGCCGTCTATACCTGACCATTCTCTTCTCTGTAAAATACAGAATACTGAACTTTTATTGGTCTTGTAAAAGCAAAAGTAGTTAAAGAAATTTTTGGCAAATCATATAAAAAAAATCACTACAGATTACAGTACAAATATTTAAAAATGTCATATCACCATCAACCGTGCTCTCTAATCCAATAACATGCGAGTTCGACATCCAGCACATTCTCCACCTCCTGAACCTTGGCAATTGAACCAGCCTTATACCTGACCACTCATTCTCTTATCTATAAAATACAGATTATAAAACTGTTATTGGTCTTGTAAAAGCAAAAGTACTGTAAAGAAATTATTGGCAAATCATATAAAAAAAATCACTACATATTACATTACAAATATTTAAAACGGTCCATCAAAAAATGACATTTAAAAAATTCATTACATATTACATCAACTGACATTAAGTAAAAGATATTAATGGTGTAGTAAGTAAGCATTATATAGAAGTATTCAGTTAATAGTTAACTTTTTCCCAACCGAGAACAGCAGATGGAGTAGACAATTTCGTTTTTGTACTTTTATGGCCACATCTCAAGGCACTTGGAGCACTTCTGCTGGTGAAATTGTGAAAATACGGAATAAAATACCACAACTCAAGGCACTTGAGCACTTCTGCTGGTAGAAATAGGCTAGGAACAGCATCTCCCTGCTCAAGGCACTAATCCTCCTCATACTTCGACGAACTTCGATATGTATGTATTTTCTACATATTAATACATATATTTTCATATTTTTGGGGCTTCTCCCACTGGAATACTTTGATAGATTTTATATTTTCTACATATTACTACTGTACTGTACATGTATTTTCATATTGTTGGGGCTTCTCCCACTGGAATACTTTGATAGATTTTGAGCGGCGCCCGACCAGGCCCACTTTTTTTCCTCGGGGACATCGCCCGAGTTAGCCATTTTAGTGGCTGGAATTTCCTTTGCATTAAAATTAGTTTTATCATAGAGAAAATAGAACCTCTATGGTTTTATCTGTGCATATGCCTATATTCAGGTTGTATTCTCCTTCATGGTAAGCTAATTGTCTTTCGTTATTTTCCTTGCTAGAATATTAATCATTAAATTCTGTACAGTAGCATTATATAATAAAAAAATATGCAA